GTTCACACAATATTTTTCAAATTTGGAATTATTTAGTTTTGCAACACTGGTTAAAGTTAACGGTTTTCGAATTTGAATTTCAAAATTAGAATTTTTGTTTAAATATTTTGAATTGTTAAATTCGTTATGGTTCTTAGTTTATTCTATGGTATTGTAACTAAACATAATATTATAGATTTTTTTGTTTTTATCGCATTTCTTAAATTCTTCTCCATAATAACATAACATAACATCACGCCTTCTATCCCCGAAGGGGTAGACAGAGGTACATATTATGCCACTGTAGGTACAATGTAACAGCCACTTTTCACTATTTATGTTATGAGTCCCATGTAATAGGGGATGAGCCTATTGCCATATACCAGGCACAATTCAAGACGCCATGCTACGACTGAGATTTTATTTAAACCCAGTAATAGTTTGCCCAACCTGGGAATCAAACCCGAGACCCCTTGCCCGGCAGTCGCACTCGCGACCACTCGGTCAACGAGGCGACGAGTAGACTACTTTAAAATACCATCAAAATATCTCTGATAGCCGTTTTCAAATTCACCCCAAAACCATCTTCTAACTGAGAGTTACTCAGCGTGCCGCACCTAAACTACACTCTATTGATAGGTTAAATCATCCTGTAAAGATGAGAGAAATGAAAGAAGAAGAATGAATATAGATACAAATAGTCTTTATTTTAGAGAGCACTTAATTATATAAGATTACATGGCTCATAGGTGTATAGATGTAGTAATCTACATATAGGTGCTTCATACAGTACTTCTTCTACCTTGAGTGAGGTGAGCAGGAGGAAGCAGGTTATTCAACACCACCCCGTTCGTACTCCCGTACAAAACCGGAGCCCTGGTAACCTGCTAAGTATTCCGCAGTTCTAGTTGGGTATCGTCCCTACTGGACTCCATCTAGACTGAACCTTTAAGTATCACTTATGCATTGTAAAAATCAAAATGTTTTTAAGTGATACCTATTTTATATATATGAGAAGTTCATGGAAACTAGCATTGGCCTTTCTTAAATATCATCAATACAGAACACATATCAACATTACTGAGCAAAGGTTCTCACACAGAGAAGGTTGGAGCATTATTCACCACGCTTGCTCAATGCGGGTTGACGGTTTCAAACTCATAATTAGAAATTATAAGCCCAGGTTTCCTCACGATGTTTTCCTTCACCGTTTGTCAGTGGTGTCTAGTGTGAATTGAAATAACTGCAATATAATTTAACTCATATGCAACTGGTGTTAAATAAACTGATGTGCGGGACCTAATATTGTACCCTGAGGTATCCCGGTGCCTCTGATTAATATAAGTTACGATCTTACTTTGCCTGCCTCATCTTTTCTTATAAAAACGTTGCTCTATACTAGGATTGTCTCCTGTGTCGTGTGTGCGTTTTTACAAACATACAAGTTCACATACACATGACACACAGACCCGGAACTACAATCTGTGATAAATAACTGATCTGTGCAGGAATCGAACCGGCAACACTATCTGCGGCAGTCAGTTGCCCAGCTACTGTGCCAACTGTGCCAACATTGGCCGAGTGATCGCAAGTGCGACTGCCGGGCAAGGGGTCTCGGGTTCGATTTCCAGGTCGAGCAAACTATTACTGGGTTTTAAAAAAAAATCTCAGTAGTAGCTTGGAGTCTGGAATTGTGCCCGGTATATGGCAATAGGCTCACCCCCTATTACATGGGACTCATAACATAAATAGTGAAAAGTGGGTGTTACATTATACAGTGGAATTAAATGCGGTAATGTGCACCTCTGCCTTCCCCTTTGAGGATAAAAGGCGTGATGCTATGACCTTAACTTGACAAAATGCATTTCTTTTAATGTTATCACACGGTAAAAATATATTTTTTTTCTTCCTTTGGCAACCAAAGGGTAAAAATAATATTATGTAAAACAATTGTGATTGACATTAAAGTATGTCTCACGATAGTTATTATATTAAGACAACTTCATCATTGTAACTATTTTAGTAAAAGTAACTATTTTTCATAAAAATGCTTGAATGCAAGCTAGTCCGGCTCCACAGGATAACGAAAAACATTGATGTTTTAATGAAACCCAAACACATAAATAATACAGCCATGTTTATTTACGTATCTTAGTGTGGGAGAGCCATGCCTCGGCACGAATGGGCAGACTCAACTGAAGTACTACCACGGTCTCGTAGAAAACCGACGTGAAGCAACGCTTGCGTGGTGTTTTGTCGTGTGAGTGAGATTACCGGAGGCTCAATAACCCTATATCCCAATCTCCGCAATTTCTTAATCCCCAACGATCCTCAAACTCCTAATCCCCAAAAGGCCGGTAACGCACTTGTAACGTCTTGGTGTTCCGTGTGTCCATGAGCGATGCCGATTGCTTACCATCAGGTGATCCGTCTGCTCGTTTACCGACTTATGCCATAAATACAGATCTTAAATAATTAAAATAAGTTTAGCTATGACCCACCGTTGAGGCATGTGCATATTGTCTTATGACATAACATCGCGCCTTTTTATCCGGTAGGCAGAGGTGCACATTGCGACACTTAATGCCACTGTACAATCTAACACCCACTATTTATGTTATGAGTCTCATGTAATAGAGGGTGAGACTATTGCCATATTCCGGGCACGATTCTAGACTCCGTGCTACTACTGAGATTTTTTATTGTCTTATGATTTCATCTAACACTATTTTTTTTTGTTACCTTGCCCTTTAAAATGATTCAACGTTGCTCTTTCTTTGGTACTGAAATCTTTTTTCTCACTCTTTTGAAGGTATCAAAGTCAAAGTCAAAGTCAAAATCATTTATTTCAATTAGGCCAGAATGGCACTTTTGAACGTCAAAAAAAAATTTAAAGTGAAGCTATTTGCTCATTCCAAGGTGTAGATTCCTATGGAGAAGAACGAGCAAGAAACTCCATAGGTTACTCTTTTTCAATCAAGTTCACAATACAATTCTCTAGTTACATAGTTTTGCTGTTTGGATTGTGCGAGAACAATGTAACACTAAAATCCAGTCAAAGTGATCAAAGAAGAAAATAACCTTAAGGACAATTTTATATTTCTTGCATGTCAGCAAAAGCAAGACACTGATAGATAAACCTGTTACTAAATTTCATATGTATCCCCTTACTTGTATAAGCATACATTATGGACCCTTCTTTCTTTTTCTTTTTAGGGGGGGGGGGGAATTATCGAATGACTTCTACGGCCTGGTCGAGGCGAGGAGTGTCAGATTCTTATTGCCTAAAAACCACCCCGTTCCTACTCCTGCTCTTCGAGCCGGAGCCCCGGTAACCCGTTAGGTTTTCTGCGGCTCCGAATCGGCATCAGCCATATTGGGCCCCATACTATGTGGTGGTTTGATGGCTCTTTGAGGTGCGCGCGGAACGCGACGCGCCGTACGCTCGGGTCGGCTTTATCTTAATTTGTTTATTATATATTTAATTTAGGAATAGTTAGTATTAATTATATTTAAGTTTTTATTAAATTATGCACATAAATAAAAGTAGGTGGAATGTCAGTTTGACAAACATGATTTTATTTCTAAAAGATTACAAATCACTTGTACAGAAATAAATACTAAAACTAATTTTACATTTGTTGACTTGTCCAGGAGCTGTGTCCAGGAGTAACAAGAGGTTGTAATACCGGTCACAATTTTAGGATCAGTGATTTCAACAGTAACATAATCTATATCTTCTTTATATATTATAATTCTTCTGTGAGTGTGTATGTCACTGAACTTCTCTCAAACGACTGGACCGATTTTGATGAAATTTTTCTGTGTCTTCAAGGAGATCTGGGAATGGTTTAGACTCACAAATCAGCCCGGCAGATGGCGCTGCAGTCGATGTTTAGGTTATTTATCCTAAACAGCTGAACTAATTTGAATGAATTTTTGTTTATACATTCAAGTGGATATGCAGGACAACGTCTGTAGGGTCCGCTAGTATTCATATAAAAATGAAACCCGTTTCCCGTTGTCACGCCATAACTTGAGAACGGCTACACCAATTAATTGTACTGATCTATTTTTATTGTATTTCTTATTATTAGGAGAAGGTTCTTGAGACAGAACAAATACTGAAAATTCTACGGAAACGGGAGAAAACGGGATTGCGCGTACGAAGTCGCGGGCAGAAACTAGTAATTTATAACGACAAAGTAAGCAAGTGGGTATTCGTTAAAATATTTCATAACAAATATCTTACGGCCTACCGCCCCGTGCGCTGCATTGATGCAGCCTTACGTGCGGTGTCGTTATTTTTTTTATAATAACTATCGCGAGACATACTAAATCAACTAAAAATCGCGGGTTACTCACGTGAATATACTGAGAAAAGCTCTACTAGTTTCGAACCACAGAGGGGTCCTTCCTCATAAGGTGTCATTATATTATTAACTAGCTACTTCCGCGCAGTTTCACTCGCTCTACTCGGCGCCTATTAATCGTAGCGTGATATTTTATAGCCTTCCTCGACAAATGGGCTATTCAACACACAAATAATTTTTCAATCGGACCAGTAGTTTCGGAGATTAGCGCGTTCAAACAAACAAACAAACTCTTCAGCTTTATAATATTAAAGTATAGATTTGTAGGATCGTGATTATCGGATGTAGTTTGGTGATTATAGCAACCCCTCTTACATGTAGGAGGCTCATAATTGCAGCACTGATGTTGTTCCAAAATGTGGAAGAGCCATGCTTCGGCAAGAGTGGGTCGGCTCGACCGCAGTGATACCACGGCGTCACAGAAGACCGACGTGAAACAACGTTGTGTTGTGTTTCGTCGTGTGAGTGAGGTCCCTGAATCCCCAATAATCCTCAAATTCCTAATCCAGAAGGCCGGTAACGCACTTGTAACGCCTCTAGTGTTCCAGGTGTCCATGGGCGACGCCGATTGCTTACCATCAGGTGATCCCTTTACCGGCTTATCCCATAAAAAAGCGATGCAGTAAAAGCGTTGAATAAAACAAAAAATAAGATACATATGCGTATAATCATTGTTAATATGATAAAAATACATAAAAATACTTAAATATACATTTGTAAAAGACACACACACATTTGAAACTCATACGGGCATTTGTAACAGTAGATAATATTGATATATATTCCATAAAACATGCCATTATCGTTGTAAAAACTTGAAGAGATCTTTAATACATACTAACAATAAAAATCCTGGACTTATTTCACTAAAAAAACAAGAAAAATAAAACTGCCATACATTATACTGGGTTATTTCTCAAAGGTATTCATATGAAACGCTGACGTTTACTGTCAAAACACCAGATATTCTGCGTTCTCAGTTGATACAAAAGATGGTAACCTATGCAAAAATCATCAACAAAAAAATGTCCTGTCACATCTGACGTCAACTGTCAAAACGGTGACATAACGATATCTGTCAGATTTTTGCTTCTTGAGCAGGTGTCGCCACTAGTCCAGAAAACGTCATACTGTTATTAACTACAGTTATAACCAGTAAATGTAGATGTGAAATGGAAATAAGTCCGAATATGGTTTAGAGTTTAGCATGGGCAGGGCGATGGTTCACATGGGCAGGGTGCAGGTTCACATGCGCAGGGTGGAGGCGCCTCACAGGGGCAGCCGCAGGGTGGGGGCGGCGGAGGCTCGCAAGGGCACGGGCATGGACATGGGCAAGGGCAAGGACAAGGCGATGAGCACGATCCTCCTCCGCCAATCAGTCCTCCTCCACCAAGCAGTCCTCCCAAACCTCCTAGCCCACCTTGACCTCCTTGGCCTTGGAGCAGCGAACAGGTCGATACACAAATAGTCGGTGGCTGAATATTCTGGGGCTTATGTGGCCTTACACAGATCTGGGGAGGGTTAATTGGTGGGGGACGGGGTTGGGTCACACTGATCGGCGCTGGTTGAATCGGAGCTGGTTTGGGCACTCTCACTACTAGTGGAGGAGGTTGCACGCAGGGCACAGGTCCTGGACGAGCGAGAACAGGTGGGGGAGTTATTGGGGGTAGAGGAGGAGGCCTGACGCAGATTGGTGGAGGTGTCACAGGCGCCACAGTTGGTGCTTGCACCGACAGAGCTGGTGGTGTGATCGGTCCCTGTTGTGGTGGTCGCACCAGGATCGGAGGAGGCTGGATGATCACGTCTGGGGAGGCGCTGATGAAGAAGGTGCCCCCAGGTACAGGGATCGCTTGGAAACCTGCTCCTGTCAGACGTTCAGCGACATTGTTCTTCTGCAACAGTACCTTGATTGGGCCGTCGCCGCACGGAGCTGGAAGGAAGATCAGATTTTAAAGTTGATAACATAACATAACATCACGCCTTCTATCCCAGAAGGGGTAGGCAGAGGTGCACATTACGACACTTAATGCCACTGCACAATGTAACACCCACTTTTCACTATTATGTTACGAGTTCCATGTAGGTAGTAGCCTATTGCCATATACCTGGCACAACTCCAGACTCCGTGCTACTACTAAGAATTAAAAAAAGCACCAGTAAAAACCGTAGCATGGAGTCTGGAATTGTGCCCGGTATATGGCAATAGGCTCACCCCCTATTACATGGGACTCATAACATAAATAGTGAAAAGTGGGTGTTACATTAACTATTGACATTCTGATTGTTTAATATTGTGACATTTAAATTTTTAATCCTATGTGACCTAATAATTAATAATTCTAATGACATTAAGTAATAATAATCAATCCAAATCTTTGTTTCCAACTATTTTCTAATTTTGTATGCTGAAAAAGCCAACATAGCGTTTAAAATTGTTATTTAAGACCCTAATGTTACCTGTGTTCACAATTGAATAAATGAATTTGAATTTGAATTTGAACATTGTACAGTGGCATAATGTGCACCTCTGCCTACCCCTTCGGGAATAAAAGACGTGATGTAATGTATATATGTCTTGAAGTAATCAGATAGGAAATCTAACCTACAAGTATTTCATCTCCTTTAATATTGAAATCTTAACCTGCAAAAGTGCAATATAGTAAGTGAAGGGACAACAGGAATGTATGTGTTTAGATATGTAGTTGTGAGTGTGCATGTATAGGTGTGTAGAGGCGGCTGCGCCCGCCACGTAAGTCCAGTCGTAATTAAATACAGTTTACATGAACACGTATCTCATTTATTAAGTGTTATCCCGATTCATCTAGTGACCTTCCACTGAATATACTATATTCCCTAAAGTAAGAATTAAAAAAGTAATACTTACACGGTGGTGGGGCGCAGGGGTCACATGGGCAGGGTGGTGGTACGGGCGGGGGACAGGGTGAGGGGCACGGACAGGGCGGGGGAGGAAGACACGGACAATACTGGGGCGCTGGGGCCGCCGCCGCTGACGCTACCAATGCTGAGGACAATAAAACAAGTGAATCATATGTATTTTCTAATATTATTTAGTATTATTTAGACACCACAGACAAACATTGTGAGGACACCTGAGAGCTTAGTACGAGTTTATTTTCGGTTAAAGTAATTGAAACGAGACGGCGTCCGCCGCTCTAATTGGTTTGCTCGTTGGCGCCAGCCAATCACAGCGCCGAACGCGTACTCGTTACGAGTACTTTAAACTTAAAAGAAACTCGTACGTACGTGAATTAACTAAAATCGAGGGTTATCCACGTGAATATACTAAGAAAAGCTCTACTAGTTTCGAACCACAGAGGGGTTCTTCCTCATGAGCAGCGTGCGCGGTCGCGGTGACGTCGCGCAGTTGACTGGCTGGCGTTGGCGCTCTGTGGTTCGAAACTAGTAGAGCTTTTCTCAGTATATTCACATGAGTAACCCTCGATTTTAGTTAATTTAGTATGTTATTATAAAAAAAAAACGTTCTTTGTAAATATTTAATTTATATTGAATAGTTTTTTAAGTTTAACAATTTTAAATGTTCCTATATAGTTATTATATTTATACAATAGAAAAAACTATCTTACCTATTATACCCAATGCCGTAATTCGCCCCATAGTTGACAGCCTTGTGTGTTAACCAGGGAATCCACCATCTTTATATACCCAATCCCTATAAGAAATGTTTATAATTACTAACCAACCGTTCTAGAACGCTAGACTTGATGTTAAATGAACCATACTTTAGTTTAAACAAAATATACGATTAGGGACTTAGAAAAATTTCAACCGATCGTCTTCTATAATAATATCATGATCATCTTAACCGATTTCGGTTGCAGCAACTGTTTCATGATTATTTTAATCAATAGCTTTTGTTTTTTTATGGCATAAGCCAGCAAACGAGCAGACGGATCACCTGATGGTAAGCAATCGGCGTCGCCCATGGACACCTGGAGGCGTTACAAGTGCGTTACCGGCCTTTTGGGGATTAGGAGTTTGAGGTTTGTTGGGGATTCAGGGATCGGAGAGATTGGGAAAAGGGAGGGTAATTGGGCCTCCGGTAACCTCACTTACACGACGAAACAAAACGCAAGCTTTGCTCCACGTCAGTCTTCTGTGAGGCCGTGGTATCACTCCGGTCGAGCCGGCCCATTCGTGTCGAAGCATGGCTCTCCCACACTTAAACTGTTTACGGCTTCTGCCCGTTCCCGTGGGATAAAACTAGCCTATGTTAATACATAGGCTAGATTATGGTCTGCAATAATTTGCAGACCATAATCTAACCCCGTTCCAAACTTTATCTCAATCCCTTCAGCCAATTTGTACGTGAATAAACTTTCAAAGTCAAAGTCAAAGTCAAAATCATTTATTTCAATTAGGCCAGAATGGCACTTTTGAACGTCAAAATAAAATTAATATTTAAAGTGAAGCTATTTGCTCATTCCAAGGTATAGATTCCTATGGAGAAGAACGAGCAAGAAACTCCATAGGTTACTCTTTTTCAATCAGGTTCACAATACAATTTACTAGTTACATAGTTTTGCTGTTTGGATTGTGCGAGAACAATGTAACACCAAAATCCAGTCAAAGTGATCAAGAAGAAAATAACCTTAAGAACAATAATACAGTCTGGAGCTGACCAGTCCCAGTTGACGGCGCCCGTTCACGAACATGACACGTACACCAGCACTTATAATATCAGTAAAATTTGAACTTGTCTGATAAGCTCCGCGATGGTAATTATGTTGACCTTCAGCAGCTTCTAAGCCTAGGACACCAACGTTTAGACTTGGCTTGAGACCAACCAAAGGCTTGGCTTCAAGGACTAGGGGGAATTATAGTCCTTTCCATCATCTTACTTTGATAGACAGCGAAGGTCCACCTCTTCATGGTGGATGTTCCAACCGGTGCATGTTCACGAAGGGCTTCGTTTCAAATTTTAGCAAGCGTTTATTTTGCAACGAGATTTTGAAGCAGATATCTTCAACCGATTGAGCTGAAATTTCGTTTACACATTTGTTTTATGGAATTGGAGGCAAACGAGCATACGGATCACCTGATGGTAAGCGATCAGCGCCGCCCATGAACACCCGCAACACCAGAGGAGTCACAGAAGCGTTGCGTACCTTTTATTTGAAGGTTTGAAGGTCGTATCGGTTCGGAAATACCGCCGACGACAGATCATTCCACAGTTTTGCTGTGCGAGGCAGGAACCTACGTGAGAAGCGCACAGTTGTGGCCTGCCAACCATCTATATGATGGGGATGCATATGCTGTCGTGAAGGTCGAGTTACACATTGAGTTTGCATGATGCATAAGACAACATAGTTAAGCCAAGCTGCATAAAACAAATTCAATTTTATTAATTAATAAACACGTTAAAACGTCGAATTGTTTGCCAGATTTTTCTCATTTCCTGAATGGTAGTTCTCCAAGATTACTTCTCTTATAATGTGATGTACAGACGTTACACCGCGGGGGTTCCGGGGCAGGTCTATTATAGAGGTCTCGATGTCCTCATAGGTGATGATGCCACCGGCGTGGGATTTAGTGGGGTAGGAATTTTTTATTTATTTATTTATTTATTATTACTTCTTCACCAAAGATAACAGTGAATGGTGGACTTAATGCCTTAAGGCATTCTCTGACAGTCAACCATAGGGAAGTGCAGAGAAATGAAGCAGTTGATGCGAAGCCAGAACACAATAAAAAAAGAAATAATTGATATTAAATAATATCTAGAATTTAGTTTTTTCTCCCCTAAAAAGCTAGGCCCCTTTATCAAAAAAAGGCCGCAAGATTACAATACCACCTGGATAAATAATGCTTTACGAATCTTCCGGTTTTTGAGAGGAGAAAATCATCCAATATCTTCTCCCGCCTGTCAGACTCCTATTGACTAAACACCACCCTCTTCCTCCTTCCTCAGCTTTTTTTTGAAGAGGTAAATCATCCAATGACTTCTCTCACTCAGGCGAGGCGAGAAGGAGTCAGACTCTTACTGACTAAAAACCACCCCGTTCCTTCTCCTGCACTTCGAGCCGGAGCCCCGGTAACCCGTTAGGTTCTCCGCGACTTCGTATCGGCATCAGCCCTGTTGGGCCCCATCTGCGGTGCTCTGATTACCTCGTTCTTACTCCTATTTCAACCCCAGTAACCCATTAGTCTAATGATTATATTAACGTCAAAAACATTGTCTGATAATTCTGTATTTCCCGGTTATTTTGAAAAAGCGTACATTTGCCTTATCTTTACCGATTTTTCATAGTCAGTGAAGCTTTATATAATATTTAACTATGTATAGTATATAAGAGGAGGTGATTCAATGGAGTATGTACGGATTCGGCAATGATGGGTCTACAGGCTTTTCTGGTACTTGGTAAGAAAACACTATTCAATATAATTTTTTATCTTTATTTTGACATCGACGCGACGCTTCTATAAAACGCTGCAATTCTTTTTTTGTTTTCTTTCTTGTAAAATATTTTAAAGTTTTATTTGGCTTTTCCATTTCGAAATGAAAAATTAATAATTAAAAAAATAACACAACATCAGGCCCTGTATTCCCGTAGGTGTAGGCAGTGGTGTACATTACGGCACTTAATGTCACTGTACAAAGTAACACCCACTTTTCACTATCTATGTTATGAAACCCATCTTACAGGGGGTGAGAATACTGCCATATACCGGGCACAATTCCAGACTGTGCTACTACTGGGATTAAAAAAAACCGAATCGAACCCGAGACCCCTTGCCCGGTAGTCGCACTTGCGACCACTCGGCCAATGACACGATCAGTAAAAAAAAAAGTAGAATAGAGATCATTGAAACCGTACCTATAACATAAAAAAATAACCTTTTGTTTACTTGTTTATTATTATTTTTTCTAAAACTTCCATAACGCGCGAGCATATGATGCGGAATGCTGCTCATGAATATGAGCCTCTAGCATAGCTTGATACTAGTCAAGGTCTTGCACGCCTCTAAGAGGGCGTGGGTTCGTATCCCACCTCTGACACCATGTTAGGTTGGTGGATTGATTAATTATAGACGGATTTATTATACTTGGATTTATTACAATAATGTGCAGGGCGCACGACGTGTACATACACTTAGACTATGACAGGTAGACAGCGACGTTGATGAGTGTTCTACCTTATATAACACATTATAGTGAGGGGGCCACTACTTACTAATTATTGTCAGAATTTTAATTAGATTCCAGATTTGACAATAGCTACTGTCATTTTGTGAAATAATGATACCATATATAATAATGTAGTGATGTACACAAATATCGATAAACAATCAGTGTGTGTGTTTTATAATAAATGTTACAGAAAGTGACAGGATAGCGATAGCGATTACGGCGACGATTTATAAAATAACTTATTACCATAATACATCTATCTGTTTTATTTGTCATGTTCCTTCATGATTACATTTTTTTATTTATTTCACACACAATTATAAAAGAAAAGTCTCAGATCGTTAATTAATCGTCAAAACTAAATTATCGGTCAGAAATATTTAATTTCCTGATATAGTTAGTTTAAGAGAATAAAATTATAAACGAGAAGAATCGATCCAGAAATATTGCATTTCCATATCGAATAATTTCGCAACGTCACTATTTAGTACTTGTCATAACGTTGCAACACTGAAATTGTCAAATCTGGAATCGAATTAAAATTCCGAGTATAGTGATGATACAGACTAAACATAGGTACATGTAACACTCGACTAACAGTTACGTGAGTAACTCGAAAACATAGTAATAAGCTTCCAAATCCTTGCAGCTCTGATCAGCGTAGCAGCAGCAGCGCCATGGAGGTGTTATAGTACATGCGACGGCAGCACAGTATGCATTGGAGAAACTGGACAGCCATCCATCAGCCCACCCTCGATCTGCATCGGCAGGCCTTGCCCACCATGCACAGGACCAGCCACTGTCTACACCCCGTGCCAGTGCCCTTGCCCTTGCCCTCCCCCACCCTGCCCATGCCCCGCTCCCTGCCCATGCCCGTGCCCATGCCCACCCCCAGCCTGTCCTTGCCCGTGCCCTTGCCCCTGTCCAGAGCCACCACCACCAGCATGCCCCTGCCCCTGCTACTAAATAAATAAGAGAAAAATATTTTGGATATCATTTTTTGGATAATATGATTTTATTTTTAGAATTGGAACGAAATAAAAAATTTGAATTTTTTTTTCAAAAAAATGTAATCGTTTTTTTGGTATAGAAAATATGTCATTGGTATTTGGATTTGGAAAAAAAATAATATATTGAATGTCGTTTTGTTTTTTATTTTTTGCTTTTCTTTTTTACTTTCAAAATTATGTACCGTTACAGTAAATTTTTTCTGTCTATCTATCTGTTTGTTTACACACCATGCAAAAACTACTTCCGCGGTCCGATTACAAAGGAACTAACTAGGACATAATATCACGCTTTTTATCTCTGAAGGGGTAAGCAGAGGTGCACATTATGCCACTGTACAATGTAACACCTACATTTATTACAAGAGTCTGGAATTGTACCCGGTATATGGCAATAGGCTCACTCCCTATTACATGGGACTCATAACATAAATAGTCAAAAAATGGGTGTTACATTGTACAGTGGGATTAAGTGCCGTAATGTGCACCTCTGCCTAAGAACCTAACGGGTTACCGGGGCTCCGGCTCGACGTGCAGAAGAAGGAACGGGGTGGTTTTTAGTCAGTAAGAGTCTGACACTCCCTCCCGCCTCACCCAGGCGGGAGAAGTCATTCGATGATTTTCCCCTCTTAAAAAAAAATCTTTCAGGGATAAAAGGCGTGATGTTATGTTAATATGATTTTAGGGAACAGATAGTATAATTTAAGATCGGAAAAGGAGGATCCTCCGACCAGGCGAGGTGATCGTGCCTGGCGGGCTTTCTGCCCAACAGTTGTTCGTTGGAATGGGGTAGACGACTAATTTTTATTTTAATGTCCGTCTGGTAGATTATTTAAAAACATTAGACACGTATTTTTTATTTTCTTATGGAAACGAATAGTTTCGAAGATATATTGATTTGAAATGTCGCGTGACGTCACTTCTCAGTACATTTTATACTAAGAAATGACGTTTTAGCCCCCACTCCTAAACTTTGATTCGTTTTATCTAAGTATTGTTTTATTATACAACAAAATAAAAAAATACGTGTCTAATATTTTTTTATTACCTAAGTTACGGACTAATTATATTTTTAATTTTCATACCCTGTCATCATCCCCATTGTCTATCCGTGTTAATTCGCATGTAAACTTCACATGGGCGATTTTGGATTTTGTGACGTCATCAGTTGATTTCTTAGTCGATAAGTACTCCTTATGCAACCTCTATCATTTGTCTTTTGTATCTCGTGTCGCCACAGTTTGTATAAATGCGCTAATCTTCGTAAATATTAGTTAAAGGACATTGCTTTGCTTCCATACATTATTGGCCCTGGAGCCAAGAGTATCAGATAATTATGTATTGTATACAATTTTTAGACTCCTAGAAGATCTTTTTTATAGCGGACTAGCTGCAGAAAAGATATATTTCAAAAATATCACATTTTGAAGTTATAATCTAACCATGAATCTATCATATAACAATGAATATTTGAACGAATATTGAATGTTTGAATGATTGTATAGAAGTTAAGAAGTATTGATTACTGTATAATATATAATATTATTGTTACTACCTATTACGACGAATGACGATTATTATTTACTTATTACATTAGACGAAGCATTTAACATTAGTCGAAGATGGCGCTCTAATGTTATTAATCGCGTTATATTCTATTTTTTTTTAAACTTTGCCCCATACTAGGATTATCTCCTGTGTCGTGGGTGCGTTTACAAACATACAAGTTCACATACACATGACACCCAGACCCGGAACAACAATTTGTGGATCACACCAAGTGTTGTTCCGTGCGGGAATCAACCCGCGACACGTTGCACGGCAGCCGGTTGCCCAGCCACCGCACCAACCGTGCAGTCAAATATATATTACCTAATTAATATTAAAAGTACATTTTGGAATATAGCTAGTCCGTGATACAGAAGTATTTGCAACTAATATAATAAAATAGGAGATTAATTATCGTATATTTTTATTTTTTTTTTATTTTAGTAAGTTATTAGTATAATGCGTCAAGCGTGTCTTTGCATTGTTCTTACATATGCGTACAGTATTGGAATATGTATCAGAGACATTGTAGAACATACTTTTTTTTTTTTAGTTCTTCTCCATTCGAATCTACGTTTTGGAATGAGCACCTAGCTTCACCTAGCTTCACTGACGGACTGACTGACAGACTATTACTTATTTTGTATTTGTTGATGTTTTTTTTTTTCCAAACTATGGTTTAATTGAAATAAATGCTTTGACTTTGACTTTATATTCTTTTTTTTTTTATTGCACAGGACCATTTCGGACATTGTCCTTATTGTATTTTAATAGTTCATTTATTGAAGAAATGTTACGATTAATATAAGGATCGAGCAACTGATGAACAGTACGGGAGTTGCAGTTTACGCATTAGTATCGATCACTTATCACTCCCTGATAGATTATTTATTTACTAGCCACCCGCCCCGGCTTCACACGGGTACAATATGCATGTATTATACATATAAACCTTCCTTAAGAATCACTCTATCTATTAAAGAAAACCGCATCAAAATCCGTTGCGTAGTTTCAAAGATTTAAGCATACAAAGGGACAGAGAAAGCGACTTTGTTTTATACTATGTAGTGATTTATCTTATATAGGTATATCTTCTTACATCTTCTTACTTCATTATAATACATCTTACATCTTGGCAAATTTAACATGTTACCTACTCCGTTTCTACAGATTACTTTCAATATTATATCTAGACTGACACAAAAATAGGTCTGTACATTTTTCAAATAAAATAAAGTTATTTAAGAAGTATATTTCATGTACAGAATTGACGTCTCTACAGATTTATTATATTACTAGCTACTTCCCCGCGGTTTCACACGCTCTGCTCAGCTCCTATTGGTCGTAGCGTCATGTTTTATAGCCTATAGCCATCCTCAATAAATGCGCTATCCAACACAAAAAGAATTATTCAAATCAGACCTGTAGTTACGGAGATTAGCGCGTTCAAACAAACAAACAAACTCTTCCGCTTTATATAATAGTATATGTATTCTCATAGATAGATTCTCTAAAATTACAGTTAAATACTGAAGCCACGCTTGCGTTGTGTTTCGTCTTGTGAGCGAGGTTACCTGAGGCTCAATTGCCTCAACCCCGTCCCTTCTCCAATCCTTGAATTCCCAACAATCCTCAAACAACTCACCTTTTTTAAAGGACAAGCCCGCCACAACCTCCCAAAACCTACAACTCCTGTGCACCAGGATCTACAGTAGATACAACCATGCAAACACCAGAACACTGAAGTCCAACGTCCCAGGGACATGAGTAACTGTCTTGGTTCCCGCATCAAAGTGAATCAGAAGATATTTTAAGAGATGAAGAAAAAAAACGACAGTTTCCACTTCCCTCGGTGAATTACTGCAGGAGACAGAATGAATTAAGCCCAAAGGCACAAAAAAGAGACTGAACAACTGGCTGAAGCTTAGTTCCTAATCCCAAAAAGTCGGTAACGCACTTGTAACGCCTCTAGTGTTCCAGGTGTCCATGGGTGACGCCGATTGCTTACCATCAGGCTCGTTCACCGGCTTATCACTTTAAAAAAGCCTTAGAAAACAGAAATTGGATGCTTAGGATATGAATGAACTATTACTAAACCCCATTAAAAAAACCGCTACGATGATAAATAAAACCAAGATTTTATAACTTAAATATATAATTTATACTTTCATTAAACTGTTTATAAAGTTCATAGGTAATGTCAAAGGGAGGGTAAGCAGAGATAGAGGATTATTTTGCTGAGGGTCCGGTGTGCTGGTGCTGGGCGCCGCCGCTTGTGCCGTGGCCAAAGTTACGCTCACCATTACTGTGGAATAGGATACAAAGTTATTACTTAAATGTTACTATAACATTATAAACAGTATCGCCTAAACTGTCAAACACCGCGAGGACACCGGTGACCGCAACCTATTGTTCTATAATTGTGTCTATAATGACGGTACTCGACGAGTTAACACAAGGGCACTTGGGGCTGGTGCCCAGGCCCCACATCCTCAGAGGCTTCGAAGGACCGACAACTTCTACGACACACACAATTCTCACGCAGCGGTTAACGCACAACTTTTTTGTTTTATTGCATAAGCCGGTAAACGAGCAGACGGATCACCTGATGGTAAGCAATCGGCTTCGCCCATGGACACCCGAAATACCAAGGCGTTACCGGCCTTTTGGGAATTGGGAATTTGAGAATTGTGGAGGATTCGGGGATTCGGGAGACTAGGGAGGGGGGTAATTGGGCCTCCGGTAACCTCACTCACACAACGAAACACAACGCAAGCGCTGCTTCACGTCGGTTTTCTGTGAGACCTCCGGTCGAGCCGGCCCATTCGTACCGAAGCATGGCTCTCCCACACTTTGCAGGGGGTTCGATTCTCGCACGGACCAAATCTTTGTGTGGTCCGCAAATTGTTGTTTCGGGTCTGGGTGTCATGTGTATGTGAACTTGTATGTTTGTAAACGTACTCACGACACAGGAGACAATCCTAGTGTGGTGCAACGTTATTAACGAATAAAAAAGTATTCCATAAGGATCCGAATTGTTGTGTGCCCACGGGTTAAGTTAGTTTTAGACGGCCCTGGTTAGTTTGGACCACCACAGATGGGGCCCAACAGGGATGATGCCGATTCGGAGTCGCGGAGAAATTAACGGGTTACCGGGGCTCCGGCTCGACGTGCAGGAGAAGGAACGGGGTGGTTTTTAGTCAGTAAGAGTCTAACACTAGGCGGGAGCAGTCATTCGATGATTTAACCCCCTTCAAAAAAAAAAGACGGCCCTGGTTATTGGTGTAAAACTTTATGTGTAAATTATAATGTTTTCGGCTTACTCACGTAATAATTTGACGAGGAACTCGACTAGTTTCAAGCCATGCCTGGGCGGCGGCGATTGCTTACCATCAGGTGGTCCCTGTGCTCGTTCACCGGCTTATGCTATAAAAAAAGACTCACCACTAAAAAGAAACAAAATAATGCACAATTTGCTAACACCCATCGTCTTGACAAACAACTAAAATAAAAAATATATATACAACTAATTCATATATATAACAACTCGTTGTTTTATATATGAGAGTGAGAAAAATCAATT